GAAGTCCACTGCGTTCTGCATCATCGGTGTCTCTACGACCACGTATGAAGTCAGCAAACCAACGAAGTCCTTACATAACACTTCTCAAGTCATTGCTTCGCCATCAGGAAGCAGTGTAGAATTATAACACGGAATTTTTTTTATCCATTGTTTCGAAAATAACAAAAGTAGTGAACATGGTCTAACATTGCTCAGAATCATCAAGACTTTTTTGTTTTTGATCAACACTTAGATCTGAGCTTTCTCATAATCGAATACTCATGCAATATGAAGCCAACACGTTTTTTGATATTTTCACAATGTCAGCTAAATGATTGAACCTCATTCACTTTTCGATAACTCGAAACGATTTTGTGGATTTTTTTTTGTTTTCTGGTGTTACTGCCTCATTTGAACGTCCACTGCGTTCTGCATCATCGGTGTCTCTACGACCACGTATGAAGTCAGCAAACCAACGGAGTCCTTACATTACACTTCTCAAGTCATTGCTTCACCATCAAGAAGCATTGTGAAATTATAACACAAAATTTTTTTGATCCATTGTTTCGAAAATAACAAAAGTAGTGAACATGGTCTAACATTGCTCAGAATCATCAAGACTTTTTTGTTTTTGGTCAACACTTGGAACTGAGCTTTCTCATAGTCGAATGTTCATGCAATATGAAGCCAACACGTTTTTTTTGATATCTTCACAATGTCAGCTAAATGATTGAACCTCATTCACTTTTCGATCACTCGAAACGATTTTGTGGATTTTTTTTTGTTTTCTGGTGTTACTGCCTCATTTGAACGTCCACTGCGTTCTGCATCATCGGTGTCTCTACGACCACGTATGAAGTCAGCAAACTAACGGAGTCCTTACATTACACTTCTCAAGTCATTGCTTCACCATCAAGAAGCATTGTGAAATTATAACACAAAATTTTTTTGATCCATTGTTTCGAAAATAACAAAAGTAGTGAACATGGTCTAACATTGCTCAGAATCATCAAGACTTTTTTGTTTTTGGTCAACACTTGGAACTGAGCTTTCTCATAGTCGAATGCTCATGCAATATGAAGCCAACACGTTTTTTTTGATATCTTCACAATGCCAGCTAAATGATTGAACTTCATTCACTTTTCGATCACTCGAAACGATTTTGTGGATTTTTTTTTTGTTTTCTGGTGTTACTGCCCCATTTGGTCGTCCACTGCATTCTGCATTATCGGTGTCTCTACGACCACGTATGAAGTCAGCAAACCAATGTATATTTTTTCTTTCTGATGAAGCGGAGTCCTCTTAACACTTTTCAAGCCATTGCCATGCTTGAACGGGATTTTTTCCTATCAAAAAGCAGTGTATTATGAGTAGAATATAATGAGATATCAAGAGCTTTCTTTGGGAGGTCAGTATTAACTGAAAAAGCTGTGAATGCAATAATACTAGCGCCATCTGTATATTAGGCCCGAGACTTTTCAGCCCATGTAGTAACTGCAAGTTTGTAGTCTTCATCAACAGGCACAGTTTCTCTTGCTGAAAATGATTTTGGTGATTTTCCAGCTTCATTTTCGAACTCATATATCGATGATTTTGATACTCCCGCCATTTGCGAACACATTTACATTTCATAAACTTCAGGCAATGGAGTTCCCGAGACTTTTCAGCCCTTTTCACTCAAACCTATAGTTATTTCAGCCTTCTAGAACCGCAAAAGTTATGAACCGTGTTTTTTGTTTTATTTTTCTGATTGCGAATTTCAAATAAGGCTCATCTGACACCACTTTGCATATGAGCGCCATTTCAGTTTGGCCAATTAGACAAACTAGTCGGAATCTGAGATTCGAGACTATATTATAGTTGGTTTCGTGGCACGCCTGTTACAGATCCAGCCATGTTACATGTGTACTATGTGACCCGTGTGGAGCTTGATGCTGGCCTTCATTGGGTATGCTCTACAAGACCTTGTGTCATTAAATTAGACAAACGGCTAGTCCCAAAACTAACCCTAATTTCCTTCACAACGCACGAGAAAATCAGTTCATTCAACCTCGGGTTTTCGATCCTAATCCCGGGCTCCTTCGATGAATAATAAATAGATCGCTTATTGGTCGATTTTTTCTTCTCTTTGACGGGCGTAATACCACAGGATGACGCATTAACTTGTCTTTGTGTCATGATATATATCCGTTTATACCGAAAATTGACGCCACATAAAGGGTTGGATAATGGCTCTTTGGACATGGACGATGTTACAGAATACCTGATGAATCCTTTCAATCTCGAAGGGTCACTTACGAGATTTACGAGATTGATTATCAAACAATTCTTTTTTAACTGAAATAAAAAACCTTTTTGAACACAAGATTTCATTGGACGGATACGTATCAATCCTTCTCAAATAAATACGTCAGTTACTTTGAACACTTCATGCACATTTTAATTGCTCTTTACACTATACAATTGTAATAAATACCTCAGGAGTTATTGCAAAATCGAAAATTCTCGCGCGAGAAAATAAGTTGAAGCGGTCAGACAAACCAATGCGACAATATCGTATTTTCGTTTTGAGATATCTTTAGATAAATATGTGCTTACATACTGAAATGCTTACATACTGAACTAGCTAGGGTTCTCGGCTTTACTCAGGGAGTTAATGTGAAAATGCATGGCAGTCCACAATTCCTACTTTATATATTCCTACCTAAGAGTAACACCCATACAAAACAGCTTTGGAATGTTCTACAATGTTTCATAATATTCTATAGCATTCCTGACTTTTCTGGATAATTTCACAATGATCTAGGATGTTACCCAGTGTCTCAGACTAGTCCTGAATCTGTTTAAATCTGTTTTTCCGTTAACGGTGTCGTCCTCCTACGAACGAAAACTCTCAAAAATCGAAAATTGTGCGAGCTAAGGTAATTGTGCGAGGTCTTACCTTTCAACGGGTGATTCCTAACACGAAATTCCACAAGATTTCAACATTTGTGACAAAGCCGTAATTTTATGAATGAATTAAGTGGTTCATCATATAATGTTATCCAGATTGGTGCTAAAGAGGCAATGGGCAAGTGTCTCATTCCGAAACAACATATGGCCGCCATTGAGGATAACAGTGTTCCATGTTAATGAAATTTTACCTTTTTCATCCACTATATTGTGTAGTAATCCTGTGAATGATATCTGATTCAATTCCATAACGAATGTTTGGTTTGGAATACAGACTGAATACAGAAAAGTTTTTTTGTATAACTCAGTGTTCAGATAAAGGTATTGGGTTCCCAAAGTATTTTTCTTTAGCGTAATCCAATGTTTATAAGGAAGTATCTGTTTCGAGGGTTTTTTCTCACAGTTTGTGTCTGAGAGTTACTTCTTTGCATGATCTAGTATTGAGTTTTTTTTATTGATTGCTTCCTTTCATTTTTTGGAAGGTTTCCTCCAAAAATAATATATTTTCATAATAACAGAACCAGTTTCATTAAACTTAGCAATGGTCTTGGGAATGAATATCAAAAAATAATTCAACAGAAAACTCAAGAATGCTATATTCGAGCTATTTTTCCTCATATGTGAGTATTGTACCCAACTTTTGAAGTGTGGAAAAATAGATGGAACGACCAAATTGGTGATTGACGTTCATTTCCCTTTTTTACAACTTTTTGGTCGATACTTGATGAGAATCCATTACGTATTCAAGGAACATTTTATTGTAAGATTTTCACCAAACAGTTTCACAAAAACGCAACACGTGTTTCGCTTTACAATAGCTTCCTCGAGCTATAAACACCTATAACATCCCTCTGACCCCCATCTTCATTTAAAATTTGAGGGGTTTTATCCGTTCTCGCTAACGGTGTGGGTCCGGTTCCTGACTCTTCATGTGTTCTATGTAGTCTAGTATCATTCATATTTCCACTTAGCTACACCGTAATGATGAGAGCCAACTAGCTCGAATCTATCTACGGTTTTCCGATCTGAGTTCTTCATTCAATGATTTTACCTGACGATGTTAATCATGACACTCGAAATATTTCTTCTGTATCTAATGAATTGACGTCACGTATGATTTGAATTAATTGATAGTTTGCCGACTATCTTGGTGTCAGAACAATCGGAAGGCACAACTTGAAGGCATCATGTCTCCTTATACCATAATTAATGCATCTCCTTATACCATCATTAATGCGTCAGATTTTAATAATACATTACATTGAATATCTGATTCTTTTTCATTCATGTACAAAAGTAACCTATTCTTCTTCATTTCCTTTTCCTCTGTTCATGTTAATCCTCGATTCTGCAATATTTCACCTATGATCTCGTCCCATGTCTTTCTCGGTCTTCCTCTTCTCTCTTTGTTGTTGTTTTGCTTCCCATATTAGTCAATCTTTTGTTATTCATGCTCTGTAAATTTCGCTACTTTGCTAGCTGTCTCAATTCAATATATTCCAGGGTTGATTCTTTTTCCAAATATTCCCTTGTTTTTGTATTTCCCATTTTATTCCTCCTTATGAAGCCTTTTGCCCTTCTGAGATACCTCATCTTGACAGCTTCTATTTTGTCATTTTGTTTTTTTGGAAAGAACCCATTACTCATTTTCGAATGTTTCGAATGTAAAAACAATAATCTTCGTTTTTATTGTGCATAATACATTTTCATTGTCTTTTCTATTTTGTTTTGATAATTTTGATTTTCTGACTCCCTTTACTGTCTTTGACTCACTTGTTCCATATTTACATCATCAATTCTTATGATTATATTCTCTTGTTCTTTCCTTAAAACCATTACTTTTGTTTCATATTTATCCAGAGCAATTCTGTATTCCCACCGTATAGTGTTCCAGGTTTCATATCTAACATATCTATTATTTAAGAAAAAGTAATATCTAGTCATACCCATTTGAAAAATATTATTTTTCTCCTCGGGTATATGCTTCCAAATCGTAGCGGTAGTTACACAAATTGCCGTACTGCTTGAAGTAGGGATAACTGGCGCTGCTTGGTTCTTTCTACCTTATTACCACTTACCAACCACTAGCAGTCTTTGGTGAACAGAACAGTGATCAATCAGGCCGAAAATGTCACGTTCCTTCGATATCTTCTACTTGAACGATTTTTCAGCCGTACCTTCACAAACGGAAAGACAAGAATACCCGAGTTCTGGACGAAAACGTCTCTGGAAAAATGTAAAACTGGTTCTCATCTCTTTATGGGTAGTTCTCTTCATACTCTTCATCCTGTTTGCAATCACACACATAACAATCCATATCTATAGAGAAATTCAGTTGAAGAAATTCACCAATGGAACTTATAACAACCCAGGAAAGATGGTAAATATTATATGAATATCATTTTCTCTGATTCATATTTGATTTCAATACATTGTATATTATCCAAAAAGGGTTTTGTTATTTTATCAATCTTCATTTATGAATATCAAAATTCATAAAGTGATGCAAGTTCTCAACGCCGGAGGATGTGATTTGAATTATGCTAATTCTTCAATTTGACGATTATATATTTGATAAACGGATCTTATAAAAGAATGCCAAAAACTGCACCGTGTGGTAATATATTTTTCTTTGATTTCAGGATAATGACACTGAAATCCATCATTAACTGGTTTCTCTATTGCAAAATGTGAGTACTATTGACTAACTGATACTCTATTCACTGAATAATTTCAATAATGAAAAATTCACAATGAAACTCTTCATGTTGAGCCAACTTCTGTTTCAGTTAGAGCAACTGAAATATTGACATTTGAATGGTAACCAATCTCCAATTTCACTTGGGCGACTGATCACTCTCTGTTGATATACCTGGTCACTGTATCATTAAGATCAGGTTATTGGGATCAGTTATCGATAGACAGAGTTAGAAAATTAGTAACAAAAATCTTATAAATATACCCACTGAGCGAAACATCAGCTCAAAATAAGGTTCTTTCGATATTTTCGAAAAGTTATTTCGTCAATTATTGATAGTTTATATGTCATTAATAATTTCTTGGAATGATTTACTTTGTTTTTCACGATATCTTCCATTCACTGTCTTGTGAGAATTTCGAAGAAATTCATAATTAATCGAATCAATGAAGTCCTCTTTCCAAAAGTCCTCAGAAATTGCTTCGATTTTGGTGATTCTTCAAAAAAAACAGTTTTTTCATTATCATTTCAGATCAGAATCATTTATATCAATTATTTATGTATGATATTTGTTTAAGAAATTCAGTTTTGAGTGGCTTTGGAAAAAATATTCGTCTCGTGTCAATTTTATTTTTTGTGTTTTATGCCTGACATTTCGTCTACTACCTCAGTAGGATATTATCGAATACGATAAGGCACGAATGATGTGCTTGGATTGTTCTCACTGCCAAATACTATCTCATTGGAATTTATCTTAGTTTTTATTCCATTATTGATGGGTGTGGCTTCGTTTCTATTGGTTGGATTGAATGGTTCCATTTGTGTGCAATCTCAAGGACAGGTAGCCAGATTTTATTCATGTTGGTTTTCTTTTTTTATTGCAATTTTATGTGTTGGTATTTCTATTGACGTCTTTCCTATATAGTCTTGAAAAGTACTTAATTTTAAGGAGGATTTGTGTTTCTTCGAATGGGATATTATAAGTGGCTCCTTTGAGTGCATTTCGCTCTACAACTGATTCATCGATTTGTCTGGCATGAAAATTTCTCTTGTATTCAAAGTGCCTAGTACTTTTCATGGTTCCACTGTAGACCGACCAGCAGCTACAAAAGATATGGTAACCCCCGTTGTTGCTGAAAGCTGCCTGGCGTCCTTGACCAATCTGGTGCTCTCTATGATATTTTTTTTGGACTATAGAATCCAGTTTGTAAAATTTTTGAAAGCTGGAGCTGGAGTTACTTTGGCGTTCTGTATCCTAGAAAATATCGCCTCATCGTGCACAAAGAGACCACGTTGAAGCTCACTAGTATGTTTCCTGGACCCAACTCCATTTCTTCATTTTTTCTGACGAAATGTACCAAGGCCTTGATGAATGACTATCGCATTCGTTATTTTCCACACCAAATACATGTATCAGGGAAGTATAAAACAATGTTCAATACCTCCTGAAGGTTGGCCGAAAGATAACTACCCAAAACCCATCAGAATGATGCAATCTGTAGCAATGGTTTAAACATCATATTTGCAGTTAAAATTTCATGAAAACTCATTCAATGGATTTTCTATGAAGTTAATAAGAACGAAATGAATTACCCACAATTGATGAAGATTGTCCAATTTAGTTTCGTGTATGCCATTATTTAATAATACAATCTTGTGGGTAAATATTCATAACAGTTTGCCAAAGATGTCTACAAAATTATCTCAGTTATTATTAAAAAACTGATTATTTTTGAAAACTTTGCCACCCTGTATCTCAAAAGTTAAGGCGTTTAGGACATACGTCCATAGAAAGTTTTTTTCTTAAAATGGGTCTAAGAATTATCTCCTTAAATATTAGCATGTGTTTAAGGAACACCCTGTATGTTTACAATAGACTGAGTTTATTGTATAAGTTTGAAAATGTCCTACACTTTTATTTGTAACTAACGTTACTGCAGTTTCGTCCTATACGGACATTTTCAAACTTATATAATAAACTCAATAAAAGTGGTAAAAAACATAGAAATTTTCATTTCTCTTTTCATTATGATTTCCTACCACATAGTAACGGCTACATCCATCAACATTTTTTACATAATTAGCAAACATGTTCTTTAAAGGAAATGAATGAATTTTTCCGCTTTGATGGTTTTTGAATTGAATGATATGATTTTTTTTTTTATCATTGACGCGACTGACTGCTATTGAACTGGAGAATTTTGATATATGATGGAATTGGCCAATACTTGATGAAACTCCATAACTAACACATTTAAAAAACACTTCATTGTGAAATTTTCACTAAACAATTTTACAAAAACTCAACACGTGTTTCGCCATACAATGGCTTCTTCGGGCGTGTCTTTGAAGATACGCCTGACACAGGTTGGCTCTATGAGACATGCCCGAAAAAGCCATTGTATGGCGAAACACGTGTTGAGTTTTTGTAAAATTGTTTAGTGAAAATCTCACAATGAAGTGTTTTTTAAATACGTTTCTGATGATTATCATTTTTTGCAGATTACTTTTTGAAAGCTGTTCGGATTTAATGGGTTCTACAAAACGACGACTAAGCATAATATAAACAATTCCAATGTAGACTATTATAAACAGCTTGTTTTCATATTGATAAGTGTCAGTTATTAAAGCATTGAATGTTTGTTTACATTTTATTTTCTTTGATAGGATTATCGGAATTATTTAATAGAGAAATATCGATGGAAATGTTTCATATGAAATTGGTAAAATATATTCACTACTGGTTATATGATTTACAACCACTTTCAAAGAAAGAAAAAGACGGATGGTGAAATCTCATATTGAAAATATCAATAACAAATGTGCTAAAGATATCTGATTTTTTTTTAAGTAATAATATGTTAAAATAAATTTGGAAACGAAATTTCACAGAATGTTTCATTGTGAAGCTTACCTGAATGAAAAATTTTCCACATACGACAAAATCTGTATATACAGTACCCATCAAATGGGTTTTTTTTTTAATTCATTGCCCAATCGAAATTTGGATACCGCCGATAGTTCGATAACTATATTGAATATACAACTCAGAACACAACAGAATACAGGTGTATGTATCTGCTCCGATTATTATAACGAATTTGAGTGGTTTCAAGTGTGAGTTTGAAACGGAATTTTTCTACAAAGCTGGCTAAGGTAATTTGCATCTAAATATTTTTGTCAAAAATTTCAAAATTTGCCTCAGTGCGCGGAAATCGCATCGATTATATTGATTATTAGCGATCATTTTGCATTTCGAAAAGCGTAAAAAGCCGGCTTATCGCAGAATTTCTTTTTATGTTAGGTATTTATTTGACATATTTCTCTACCATCATAGGAGTCTCCACTTAGTGAAGAATAATTTCTCTTGATATGGTGAACAATTTGACTGTCGATGAACTCTTTGTCCTTATCCAAGAAGCTAACAATGAGCAAACAACTAGGTTAGAGAAAGTTTGTGAGGCTCAAACTAAATATATGGAAAGTCAAATATCCAAAAGTATCTCAGATACTAACTTAAAAGTTGAGGCTACCGCTGCTGATGTCAAAAAGTTGAAACGACAAAACCTTTGGATGTAAAGGAAATTGAGAAAAAATAATATTGCAGTTTTTGGTCTTGATAGATAGATAGATAGATAGATAGATAGATAGATAGATAGATAGAAGCCCAGTACCGGTCCTGAGTGAGGGTGGTAAAGCAGGCCCCTCCGGACCGTCACCCAGTAACTGCGGCTCTTCCTTGGTGGAACTCCGGGCCAAGGAGAGTTCTCATACTACTAGAGTAGAGACCAATCGAGTGGAAATAGAAAACCCGTTCACTAAGAAACACCTTATCGTGAGGACCCCTCCTAGAACAAGAACTCTCTCACTCCCAGACGAGAATTCATGTAAGAGGAAACGAGAAGAGGGCATTCCAGAAGAAAAGAAAGAAACAGACAACCTTATTCGAACATTGAAAGAAATTACTTGTCAGGTGAAACTACTAGAAAAGGTGATAAAGAACATGTATAAACCAAAAAGTGAGATCTGCGAAATAAGCAGCCGATTATCCCT